CGCCATTAGTAGATAACCGGTGGCCGGGAATAGGACTCTGCCGTCGATCGCGTGGTCTTTGAGGAAATTCCAGTCGGACTCCAGAAGAGAGAACTTCATGACAAAGTCAGAAGCGGTCGCATAGTTATGGAATTCGGGGAATTTCTTCACGTAATAACTCCTCTCGTGATCCCATTGGAAGAGCGAACTAATGGATTGAGTTCCTCGACATACCGGCCACTCGACCTTCGGGTACAGGTTCTCGATCTTCGGATTCAGACCTAATGTGAAGAGCCGTCCGATCGATGAGAGGAAGTAACAGAGATTATCGGCTTCTGTCCGCTTCATGAGTCCGGTGTAAGTGAGAGACGGGAAACACCGCTTAAATATGGACTCAAAGAGTCCGTGTGGGGCCACTTCAATGACGTACGAGTTTTTGCCGATTTCTTTCATGCCTTCGTTGAACAGCACCGGAGATATCAAGTTGTTTGTGAAGTAATCGCCTGACAATCCATACAATTATTGGTTAGAAAAGTTATGTGAAATGCAAAACCGTTTGAATGGCAAACCTGAGGCAAACTTGGCTTTCGGTGAATCCCATTGATCTCTGGAGAAAGAAGTGGAAACCCATCGTTCGCTTCTTGGTTTCGGTTCGGGGATTACTTTCTTGAGTATCTCCAGTAGTGGCGGCGCAACGATATTCATGAACGGACTGTGATATGGATAGTCACCGCCGGCCACTTGTCGGGCGAAAATGTTCTCACCCTTAAGCTGTTCCACAAACTTAACCATATTATCGTAGAGACCAGAAGTGGCGGCGCAACGATATTCATGAACGGACTGTGATATGGATAGTCACCGCCGGCCACTTGTCGGGCGAAAATGTTCTCACCCTTAAGCTGTTCCACAAACTTAACCATATTATCGTAGAGACCAGATATGGTCACTGAATCGTTGCCGTTATGACAGGCGGCGACAATGCCGTCGGGACAACGCTTTATGGTCTCGTCCCACGTCAGGCCCACCGCTGCCAACATTCCTATAGTATTGCAAAAAAAGTTTCGTATAATTTTCCAATTAATTCATCAAATGATAGCAACCTTTGGGCAATTTGGACGTCTCGACAATCTTTCCCCTCCAATAGGCGGTCAGAACTGTTTGCTCTAATGTGAGACATCCGTCGGCATAAGCGCAGGCGACTTCACCGAAAGAATGGCCAATAATTCCAACCACTTCTATGCCGAGCAGACAGAAGGTGTCGTAAAGCGCGACTTGCATTGAAGTGATGGCAACGAAAGCGTTGGTCGGATTCTTCTTGAGAGCGCTGTCGTCATCGCTGAGCAACAGATCCAACAAATCGATGCCAAACGGCTCGAGAGCGAGAGCGCAGCGCTTGAGTGAGTCCGAGAATGTCTTGATTGGCATCAGTTTCTGAGCCATTCCTGTCCATTGACTGCCCATTCCTGAGAAACAGAGCCAAACAGGACTCGGTCTGAAAGCATCGTTAACTGTCCGCTCGTATTCGTACTGAGGCTCAGTTTTGGCGCTATTGTCCGCATCGGTGTCTTCGTGTTGTTTCTCTTTGATTATCATATATCCTCTGTTCGGGAAATTAGACGAACCCTTAATGGTCTCGGTTTTCATTCCTTCGTTGAGCAGCGCTAAGAAGTCTTTGTGTACTTTCTTTGGATTGTTTTCAATGAAGTCGAAGATGTGATTAACGGCCGCTTCGGTGCGTCCGCTGACGTTCACCAGCCGTGGGATGGGATCGCATATCTTATAGGTGTCTTC